CTGCACAGCCACACACACGACTGCACAACCAAAGACACCTGCTAGCCACACACACCTGCCCTGCACAGCCACACACACCTGCCCTGCACAGCCACACACACCTGCCCTGCACAGCCACACACACCTGCCCTGCACAGCCACACACACCTGCCCTGCACAGCCACACACACCTGCCCTGCACAGCCACACACACCTGCCCTGCACAGCCACACACACCTGCCCTGCACAGCCACACACACCTGCCCTGCCCCGAGTTACACCAGCCTAGAAGACAGTTACTCCTCCCTCCTCCTTCCCTGAGCTGCTCCAAGAAGGGCTTCCCCTGCCCTCAGGAGAGGTTTTGACACCCCTCTAGGCATTTGTTGGTGGGTTTTTTGCCTCTTTTTTCACTTTTCCTTTTTGGCAGAGGTTGGGCTGAGAGCTGGGATAACTGGGTTTTACTGCCAGTTGCAGGACACAGCTCTCCCTCCCTGCATGGCCCTGGAGTGAGTCACATCTCTCTACACCTCCAGATCCCAGCCCGACTCCTCCAACAATCCAAGGCCAGGAGGAGAAACTTGCCCTTGTCCTCAGCCACACATGGGATGGCACAGCACTGCCCGGGCAGGAGGGATATACCAGGGGCCAGACAGCCTCATCCCTCCATCCCCAAACCTAAAGAGAAACCCCACAGGATGTGGGAAGCCACAGGATCAGATGGATTTGGAGCATCTTTTGGGGAGCAGCAAGGAGCAGCTCTGAGCCATGCTGTGGTGCCCAGACACATCCATCAGTGCAGGTCCCTGGAGGGCCCATGCCAAGGACCACAAGGCTGGGGAGATGCCACCACCTAACAGGTGAGCGGGTGTAGCTCCCAGTTCCACCTGCAGCAGGGTGGAGAGACCCACGGGGTGACCTTCCAGAGACAGCACCTATCCCAGGTCTCTGCTCCCACAGGGCTGGGCATGGGAGCTCACGGGAGTGTCCCACCACACCAGAGGGACCTCAGGGACTCACGTTCATTGTCCCCACCCGGGGGGTGGTAGAAGGACAGGCCCAAAGAGATTATGGCTGCGATTTCCAAGATGATCAAGGTGACGTCCTGAAGTGCCTCCCACACTAACTGCAGGAACGTCTTGGCCTTTTTGGGAGGAATGAAGTTCTGGCCGAAGACCTGTCGCCTCTTCTCCAGATCCGTCGGATTCCCGGATAGACCTGGAGCGTGGAGAGACAGGGATGAGGGCAAAGCCCAGCACTGCCCCACAGCCCCCAGCAGCACCAGTGGGACCCAACAGGAGTGCACAGGGTATGAGATGTGACAGCAGGGACACAGGACCCGTGGGGCAGGGGACACACAGGGCTGGGGTGAGCACGCTGAGCCGCTCTCTGCAGCCTCCCGGGTGCCAGTGGATGCCAGTTGGCTCTGCCTGCCTTGTTTACATGCTGCATCAAATTAGCCGTAAATCTGGCACCGGGAGCTGCGCTCGGAGCTGCTGGAGCCACCTGATCCCTCTGCTCTGCCAGCTCCTAAGAGCCACTGGGCACAGCAGGAGAGTCTCCGAGCTCAGCCCCACAGCATCTCCAGCAGGAGACATGGCTGGTCCTGCTGGAGGAGGGTGGTGGGACAGAGGGAAGGGGCAGGGCAGGTCTGAGCTGGGGGGATGCTCCCCATGGCTGGGAGCAAGCCCAGAGAGAGAGAGGAGCAAAAGAGGGGAGTAAAAGGGCAGGAAATAGGGAGCAAAAGTGGAGCCTGAGCCCCTTCTGAGCCCTCCAGGCCAGGAAGAGACAGCAATGCATCCCACTGGGAATGGTCATTCCTATCACAGCCCTTAAAAGCCAACACGGCCCCAGGTGAGAGCAGCCCCCCCAGCCCAGCACCACCTTAACCAAGCCCCTCTTTCTCCTCCACCTTAAGATGGTCTGTGGGGCTGCTGCCAGATCCCGGGATGCACTGGGAATGCAGCTCGAGTGGCTCTGGACACATCCCGGTGCCTGGAGCCGCCTGGCAGCGATGCCCTCGAGCTCGGGGGACACCTCCCCGCCAGCTCCGTGGCATTCCCAGGAGATCCATGTCATCCCAGCCAGGAGGATGCAGCAGGATGAATCCCATTCCCAGCGCCTTTCTGCCGGGATACACCCCGGCTGGAGGGAGAGGACGCGCTGGCAGAGCAGCCCGGGCGTCCCCACCCAGCCCCGACAAGGCAGCAGGATCCTGGGATCTCCCAGCCTCAATTCCCGCCCAGCTCCGGCGGAATGCATGGAAAATGTGGCTAAGTGCCTGACTCCACCGACCCGGCACAGCGGGAACACACGTGCTCCGGCAGGAGGACACGGCATGCTCCAGATGTGGATGCTCCAGATGTGGATGCTCCAGATGTGGATGCTCCAAAGCACATCCCACCCACGGGCATGATGCCAGAGCTGCCCCCAACCCTCCTGGGGTGATTTGGGGGATCCAATGTCTCTGTCACCCTCTCTGTGTCAGCACTAAGTACATGTGCCCCAGGGTACCTACAGACCCCACTGCAGGGCTAGGGGGGACAAACCTGGGGGGTCTGGGTTAGAGATTTCGGTAGAGATTGCAAGTGACAGTGGAGAAAAACCCCTGTGAGGCCATCAGTCCCTGACCAGCCCAGGAAAGCTGCTGTTGCAGGATCCTCCCCCTGGATGGGGAAGGGGGTGGCAGCCCCAGGAGCTGCTCCCAGCAGCAGTGAGTCAGGGCAGGGTGTGCTGGCACTGGGCACCCAGGGGATGCTCTGGTGACTCACCAAGCCACCACCCTGCACCACGGGGTGATGGAGGAGGTGGAAACCCAGACACCCCACCCCAAAGCTCCTCTGGGAGTAGCCCCAAGGGGTTAGGGTATACCAACACCTCTTGGGGCAACAACCAGAGCAGCAGGTCCCAGCAGAACCAGTCCCAACGCTGGGGAGAACTCACTGCGCAAACACTCACGTCTGGGGGTCCCACCCTACGAGGATGAACAAGCCAAGGGCCTCTCAGGGTACAGGGAGTCTCTGGGGGGACTGTGGTCAGTGTCTGCCCCCCAAGGACAGTGCCAGGCTTGGGTGGGGACAGCCTGCAGCATGGAGAGAGGCAGTGGCACCGAGGGGTGGGAGTCACACAGATCCAGGAGGGATCAAACTGCTCCAGACACTGCTAGGAGCCAATGAATCACACAGTGGGGCAAAGGGTCTGGGGGACACCCCAGGCAGAATCTGCTGTGCCAGCAGCTTCCTCTGGTGACACGTAGAAGGGCAACCCAGCCCTGTGCTCCCTGCCCAGAGCTCTGTGTCATCCAGAGGGATAACAAGCACTGGGATGGGCACAAACATCTGCAGGGGGAGCTGGGACGTGCACCCAGTGCTCCCAGTCAGATGAGATCAGACAGAGGTGCCACATTTCACTCTTCCTAAAAATCCCAGCTGGTAGGGAGTGAGCTTTGTTTGCTGTCTGGGCTCAGCAGGACAAGGTTCGGGATAAGCAGCAGAGCTCAGCTCCAGAGGGTGAGGGAGGGATGCACTGGGGACACAGGACCCAGGAGGGAAGGGCAGCCCTTTGCCTCCCCTCCAAGAGCCTTTCACGTTCTCCTCCCACCCCCACAGAGTGTGTTCCCACTCTGGCAGGGCCAAACATATTGTTTTGTGACCTGGACTTGGTATTTCCACCGGGACTCCCCCCCCTTCTCTAATGACATCCCGATATTGTCTCCCCTTCCCGGTCCCACTCACAGCTGGGAACACACTAATCCCCACCTTTCAGCACTAAGAATAACCCACAAGTTTTCAGAGCTGAGGCACAGCCACATCCCCATCCCACAGCCCCTGAGGGGCCACATCCTGCTCTCAGCCCCAGGTAAACCCTCAGTGCTGTAACCACAGGGTCTCTCCCCCCTGAACCCATTTAGTGCCAAGGAATGGATCCACTGCCAGGCAAAGGCACCCACAGCCCCCAGTGCCATCAGCCCCTCCTCACCCACAGGGAGGCCCCAAAATCCAGCCCAGCCCATGGACAGGTGACATCCTGACATCCTTGCACCAAAGCCTCCCAGAGGTGACCTGGCACCACTGCCACCACTCCACACTGATGCTCAGAAGGACCCAAGAGGGTTTTAGGCTCCCACAGCCCTCCAAGAACCCCTCGGATCAGGAGGGTCCTGGCTGCATCTCCCCATCCCCTTGGGGACACACTGCCCGTCCCTTGCCCAAGACGTCCCAAACAGCTCCAGGCAGCCTGGGCACCTTCCCATCTCTCTCCAACCTTTACACTCTCCTCCCCACCCACCTGAGCTGTGCCATGAGCTCTGTCAATGATTAAACTGGGCAAGCTGGCACAGAGCAGCTGGGCTGTGGTGATGAGCCCCCAGTGCCCCTCCTACACCCCAGCAGCTCCTCAGCCCTGCCTGCATCCACCTCCACTCCACCCTCCCAGGGGATGCAGGGCTCCAGGCTGTGCCACAAGGAATGCCTTGGGAAGATGCTTTTCTTTGGTTTTCCTTGTATTCCTTAAAAAAATCATAGAATCATCAAGGTTGGAGGATCTAAGATCATTGAGTCCAATCGTTAACCTGCTACCGCTGTAACCTCTAAACCATATATATCATCCAGTGCCACATCCACACACCTCTCACCTCCAGGGATGGTGACTCCACCACCTCCCTGGGCAATCCACAGAGAGTCACCTCCCATGATGGACACCAAGTGTGATGGGACCACACTGAGCTCATAGAATCCTCAGGTGTCAGACCCAGAAGCCTCTTAAACACCTCCAGAGATGGTGACTCCACCACCTCCCTGGGCAATATCCCAGTCCCTGACCATCCTATCAGGGAAAACATTTTTCCTGACCATCTAATCCATCTCCAAGCTCAGCCACAGGACAGAGCTTGGAGCCACCACCCTCCAGCATGATCCTGACGTGGCTGCAGCCCAGAGGTGACAACCCCACCTGGCAGAGCACGGGACAAGCCACTCACCTTCGACTGGCGACGTCTTCAACCTCTTGCAGATGCTCTGCACTCCACCGTAGGAGTCATTGAGCCTGGAGACTGCCTCGCCACTCCTGAGCTCCATGAGGTTCCTGAGCTCCACCACGGAGCACCCAAAGTCCCCCTCATGGTTGCCTTCGGCAACAGAGTTCCCGGGGTGGTGGTCAGCCACGTTGTTGGTCATCTCGCCGGCGCGGCGACGGCGACGCGAGGCTCCTGCAGCAACCTCCTCCCTCGAGGGTCTGGCAGGGGGGTGCTCGCTCTGGCCCCTTCCCTGGGGGGCTTCCCGGGGGAAGAGGTGCCTCTACCCGAGCCCAACTTCTCCGGATAAAGGTGTAAACAGGATGTGCATGTTACCGCGGAGGCGACCTTAGCAACGACCAGCGTGCATCTCCTGCAGAAGGAGGAGGGCTCCCTGGATACCACAGCAACTGGAGCTGCAAAAACAAGGATGGGAAACAAAAATATCAGCATTAGGAGGCCTAGGAAGAGAGGAACGTGCCCCACGGGATGGGAGAGTGGGAGCAGTGGTACCCCAGCGTGGGCACCTGCTGGAGATAACGTGGTTTCAGCATGATTCGGCCAAAAAACCTGGCTGAGAAGTTGGCTCCGGAGGGAGGTGGGAGGATCAGCATGGAGAGCAAGTGGCACTCAGCCACGCCGTGGGGAAAACCAGCAGCAGCAGCTCCGGGGCTGGGCAGGAAGGGTGTGCAGGTGGTTCTTCACTCAGCCCCAGCTGCCCAGCCCAGAAAAACCCTCCCATTCACGTTGGGTTAAAAATACACCTCAGCAGTGGAAAACAGCTGCTTCCTCCCCTGGCAGGCTGCAGGCCCAGGGCTCAGCCTCCTGCCAGCAGGTAAGGAAACATCCCAGCACCCCTGGAAAGGGGCTCACAGCACCCAGCAAGATTTGGGTCAGCTGGGAGACTCTGCAGGAACCAGAGAAACTGCTAAGACCTGTGTGTTTCTCTAAAACAGAGGCTTTTCCATTAAGGACCCTTCCAGAGGTGGCTCAGGAAGCCCTTGAAGGCAGCGAGTGACACTCAGCCTTGGCTCTCAGCACCCCAAGACAGGTTACAACACTCCAGCCCTGCCAGGGAACACAAGTGAGCCCCAAAGACACTGCTCCCCAGGAGCACACAGGATCACCAGCCCAACAGATGGGCACCAAACCATCACGAGGCCATCCCAGCATCACACCACTCCCATTCCAGCCTGGTCACACTGACTTTGCAGCTCCTGGGGCAGCAAGACCCCAAAAAGCAAACTCCTCCCTGCCTGGCCCCTGTGAGCACCTCCTTGTCGAGCAGCAACACCCAGGGTGGCTCTCAGCATTATCAGGAGACAACAGGCACCAACTGAAGCTCAGGGACACCAGTGATGCCACAGCCATGGGAAGGTCCTGTCCAGCAGCCCCAGACAGGACAGGGCTGGGCAACACAGGGATGTGCACCCAGACCTGCCCCCAGGGGCAGAGTGTTGCAGAGCTCACCAGTTCCAGCATCCCTGCCCGTTCCCAGTTATCCCACAGCTCCTCGTGGAGCTGAGCTCATCCACCCAGGCTCCCAGCAGTGGGAAGCAGGAGGTGGCAGGTCCAATTAAGCAAACTCCTGCTGATTAAGAGGAAAAAAAAAAAAAAGAAGATAATTCCCTCACCCCAACACACTAATTTTCCTCTTTCATAGCAACCAACATCGTCTGAGGAGAGCTCAGAGGTTAAGAGAAAGACGGTTAATTAGTACTGTAACAGCCTAGCTTGTAATTACCCCTGGAGGAGCCCATGGGGCACTGAGCACCCCCAGCACCAACCCAGGACTCCCTCTGCATGTTGGGAAGAGAGACTGTGCAGGGTCTGCTCTGAGCATCCTCCTCCAGCCCACCTGGGGTCACAGACCCATTCCTGCCCCATCCCACCAGTACAGGACAGGTTCCCACACTCCTGGGCCAAGCTGGGAAGGATCTGTCCGGAGATACACTCAGGCTTCCCTAAGAGCCATCGCTCTAACGCTTTGCTGAGTCCAGCAGCATTCAGCAGGCTGCCCCTCACTCCAAGAATTCCTCTCCAGAGACCCCAGGCACTGGGGAGAAACGAGTGCTCCTCAAGGTTCCCATGGGAAGTAAACACAGCCCAAGTGGGAGAGCTGGAGTGGGAGCCTGAGGAAGAAAACACAGCACAGTGTGGATACAGGACCTGCTGAGCCACCACCAGAGCTGTGTCACCTCCCTGAGTAGGACAAGGGCTGCTGTGGACAGGGAGGAGTTCGGGGTGAGGGACACAGAGCCTCTCAGCCCGTGGGCCAGGGAAGGAGCAGCACACTGGGCAGGAGGGAGCGGCTGGTGAGGAGCAGACGTGGTGCTGCAGGCGAACCTGCCCGGAATAATAAACGGCTGCACGACACCTCCGTCCTGGCAGGGAGAGAGGCTGTGGCCAGAGCCAGCACCAAAGCATCCTCCGTGCCCACCTCAGCTCCTGGCACAGGGAAAGGGACCTGTTGGCACAGGGAAAGGGACCTGTTGGCACAGGGAAAGGGACTCGCTGGCTTTTGAGCTTGGGGAGAGCAAAGTGCTGAAAGAGGGACAAGAAGAAATAAATCAGCAGGACATGTCCCATGTGACACCATCAGCCAAGCCACGAGTGGCCCTGCTGCGACGCCAGGGGCACAGCCGATGGCACCAGGAGCCTGGCACACACAGGCAGCAGCTATCACTGAGCCCCTGGGCAAGGGCACGGATCCTCCCAGCTCAGCTCAGAGCATCGGAGCAAATCCTGCCCACCAGACATCCTCCCAGAGACGGAGTGAGCCCTGACCAAGCTCAGGTGGTTTGTTCATTGCTCCACGAAGGAGGATGAAATCTGTGCCCCGACTCAGCTCCAGCCAGGACATCTCCCACCAACCAGGGCAGAGAGCACCGTGCCACGCCACGAGCAACAGCAGCCACCACGTCCCCTGCCCAGAGCCACAACCCCAGCTTGGATGGGCAGGATCAGCCCCACGAGCAAACCTCAGGCCACGCGGATCAAGGTGTATCCCCTTTTCCCCATACACCTGCCCGGTGCCCCCTGTGTCCCAGCCCCACGTGCTGCCCCCAGCAGCACCCACTGGGGTTTGTCTCCTCTCCCACTATGGGAATGGGGTGTTGGAAACACTTGGCTGCTGTAGGTTGCCATGGCAAACTCAATGTAAAGCTGTCAGGGATGCTGTTTATGTTGCCAAGTGGCGATGGAAATAAAAACCCAACTCCCCCAAAATTACCCTCCCTGGCTTGGGTTTAAGATTTTTCTCTTTGGAAATTAGAGGCTGAGCTACATCGACAGTGGAAGGAGAGGCTGAGCCCATGAGCATGGACAGACACACTCTCCAGACAGACACACATACAAGCTCCAAAAGCCAAAGTAACAACCACTTAAGGCAGAAAAATGGGCCTGAACCACCTTTCCCTGCCTGCTTGCAGGGAATTGTCCCGGGAGAGGCTGCACAGCTCTCCTGGTCTCCTCCCCCCAAGCAGATCCCACCAGCTGAACCCACTGCCAGTGCCTGGGAGCTGCAGTCCCACCTGGGAGTTATGCTGGAAGAGGAGAGGGAGGTAAAAAGCTGCTGGAACGGCTGCATATTCCAAGAAAATCACTGGGAGAGACACATTAGGTGCTGCCACCAGTGGAGGGTGTTTTGGGTGGGGGCACGACCCCCGTGGACAGCCTGGAAAGCTGAAAGCCTCTCAAAGCAGGGAAGGAGCAAGAGCATGGGGAGACAGCAGGGAGCACATGGGCAGGAAGGACACAGATACACCAGCACATGAACCAGGTGGTCCCCAAGCCAGGGCAGCACTAACACCCAGGGGGTTTCGGGGGGGGGTCCCCCACGTCCCATCCAGCACCGCAGAGAGCCCCAAACCTCTGCGGGGAGCAGAGGAGCCCCAGCACCCCAGGGACAGGGCCGGGGCCCCTCCCCTGCACACTCACCAAATCGCAATGTGCAGATGGCAGTCTGCACTCTGCCGGTTCCCAGCAACACCCCTGGCAAGGGAAGCCTTCCCTGGCTTAACCCCTCCCGCGCCGGGCACCCAGGAGGGCACCCAGAGGGGACACGGGCGTGTTGTCCCCTCCTCGGGTGCAAGGAGCCAAGACGTGACTCAGGGTGACAAACCACATGCTCCAGAGGGGCAGGGCTGGCTCCAGAGGGGCAGGGACCATCCCAGGGAGGATTGTCACCCTCGGGACCGAGAGCTTCCCTGGCACTTGGCTGGCAGCCACCAAGGGAGGAGGCGCAGGATTGCAGAGGTCGGAGCGGGCAGCGAAGGTCACAACGCCGGAATCTGCGCCCTCCACCCCGACACCACGGAGAGGGGATGTGAGGAGGCAAAGGGGGGCAAGGCCAGGCTGAAACACCCTGTTCAGACCCCAAAAGCACACACTGTACCCAGCCAGGGCTCCCCAGGGCAGGCACCTGCCCACGGGACGTTACCTCCTCCCACCGCAGCATCCGCTTCCTTCCCCGCAGCGCATGCCCCAGGGGAGGGCACAGAGGCATTTCCCTTCCCCGTGGGGCCACCCCAACCCCGGGAGCACCCCAGGGACACCCACGTCACCTGTGGCAAACACAAAACCCAAACCCTGCCAAGGGAAGGCCCCGGCGGCTGCAACACCTCCTGGTTTCCCTTGCGACGCAGAAAGGGAAGGAGCTCCCAGGCTCCATCCTGCAGGAGTGGGGGGCACTAAAGGTTCCCCTGCCCAGGAACTGGAAAAGGACCAGTAGAACACCCAGGAAGTGCTGGGGCCTCGCAGAGCTCAGCGGCAGCAACGCTGTGCCAGGGAAACCGAGTCAGGGAGCGCAGCG